ATATTTATTAAGAGTATCTAAACATATAAATACATGAAAATATCTTTATTAAAAGTATCTAAGTATACATTTAAATAAATACATACATTAAATAAATAAATAGAAAGGAGGCTGTATTGTCTCCTCCTGCTCCTCCTCTTTCTGTTTGACTTTGCAGTGTTGTATGTGCTGGTGTTTTGCTCGCCGTCCCTCCACTATGAACAGCCTCCCAAATCAATCCTTCAAAACAGATGGGACCACAAAGAAGTAGAAGGGGAGCAGTAATATGTTCCACTGAGAGATGCAGTTGTTAGCAGACAGAAGCCATTGAATACAGACCATTTTTTTAAATCAACATAAGGGCCACATACAAGGGATACTAGGTTACCTAAGACCACATAAGAAGTTCATTGTTGGCCATCCTCCTGCATGTTAATTCACTCTCTTAGCAGCTGTGCTCTCAAACAGGAACTGCCCTGCACTCCAAAAAAGAAAACAGCCTTGCTTTCTTCTTCGTGCTTTCCATGTTCACATCAATGGTTGTAAGGTGTAGTGAACAGAAGACCAGGAGTCTTCCAGGTTTTGGGGTACCACTACGGCCCCTGGTGGCTTTTCGAAAGAACTGCGTTTTGCCAGAATGTGCCTTTCTCATAGAAAACATTTTGTATGTACAGTATATACACAGTATGTGCCCAAAGTAGCCCACTGTCTTTCAAGTGATTTCATTGTGAGTCTGGAAGGGCTGTTCCCACGTTCGTCTTAACTAAATAATTACAGGGATAATGCCAGCAATTTCCCTCTGTGATGAGATGATGGAAAGGTATAAACTGACATTTTGAGCTGGAGTAGAAAACAATTTTCTTCTCAGTGAACGACTGTGTTTGATTATATTCACAAAGTTCTAGTTGGCTGGATAAATGGTAGGCAAACGACAGATATGTGGAATGGCTGTGATTTGGTTCAGTTCTACTATTGAAAGACAAATTCCTGGATGTAGAAATTCTTGATTCTCCGTGAATATCTTTTGTACCTGACTCAGACTGGTAGCTTTCCCAGGAGAAGAGGCAGGGGCAAGGAGTCTGAGATGGGGAAATGGGCTAAATGAAGCCACTCTGTGGTATGGTGAACTGCTGGATAGCTCAGTGGCTTAGGCACATGGAGCTAGAGGTTGAGAGTTCAATTCCCCATTGGGCCTGCAGAAGGGACCCTTCCAGCGCTGCAGTTCTAAGTATTATTATTATTATTGTTGTTGTTGTTGTTGTTGTTGTTGTTGTTGTTGTTGTTGTTGTTGTTGTTGTGAATATTGGGGGAGCTATCTATCTATCTATCTATCTATCTATCTATCTATCTATCTATCTATCTATCTATCTATCTATCTATCTATCTATCTATCTATCTATCTATCTATCTATTTGGCTTTTATACCGCCCATTGAAATGAATCTACTCTGGGCGGTATAAAACTTTTTTTGAAACATTTTTGAAACTTCCTTCTCCTCTATTTTTTTTTTAAAGGGGGAATGATGATGACAGTGTGGTGTAATATTTAAAAAGTCATATACAAGGGAAATGGTTTGTATCAAAGATTCAAAATGAACCGTATACTAAATTTTGTGTGAAAATCAATGGAGGCATGCGTCAGACTTGTATGGATCCTGACTCCTCACAATAGGCATTCCTGTTAACATACTCCCCAGTGATTAAACAATCATCTTCCCATTGTTCTAGATGCTTTCATTATCTTTCCAGCCTTCCTTCTCATCCATTGTTAGATTTTTCTTACAGTTAGAAATTTTTTTAGCACAGCCTGTTCTTTTCCTGATACCAGAAATCAGATAAAAACTGGATAATTTCTAAAGGTTATGCAGATGTTGTAATTAATATTTCAGCAGTTAGAAATGCGGCACTTAGATTTCTTATAAAGACATATAAAACCAAGCTTGTGACTTGTGGTTTGTTTGTTTTTTAATTATTTGTAAGCTGTCACTGTTAGCAGCTGGATTCAGTAATAAGACACAACTAGAGCAGTCGTGTTGAATCAGTAGGGATTTGCTATGTTAACACATTTTTAAATTCCATTACTTCTGTGGGCCTACTCTAGTTGCTACTTACTACTGGATTTCAACCAGAATGTAATATGTATGCATCTGATGGTATTTAGAAGTAACATGTCATTTTGGAACATACAGAGATTCATTTAATAGTAATATTTTAAAATGCCACGACTGAAGGATATTCTGATAATGTTTATTCATATAAGGGCCTTGTGATATTCAGAAAGAACCAGATGGACTGGAGGAAAAGACACCTGCACTAGTACACACCATATTAATTTACTATTCCCCAAAGTTCACGTCTACAGAAATCTGTGGTTATGGAAATCTGTTGTGATACTGTCAGTTTCATCTTTTCAGATCATATTCCCAGTGATGAGAAGGGGCATACCTAGTGGAATTTTCCTTCTGCTGTGGATTTGACTGCAGTTTCTTGACCAGTCCATTAAGGCGAGGGAAAGAAAAGGCTTTCAAAAACATATATACCTGATATAAGCAGGGGAAGTTATTAATTTGCTAACTTAATTAATTTGCTAGCTTGCTTACTTCATGCTATTGGTCAATCAAAAGAGCAAAGCTTGCTTAGGATTGATGCCAGTGATCGCAAGTGAAACAAACCAAACCAAAGCAATCCTACCTACACCAGAAAAGTAGAAGCCCCTTGACAGAGGCCAGAAAGGTGCAAATAGGAATGCTCTGTGTGCGCTCTAGCAAACATGTCATCTGATCACCGTCTTTAAGAATGCACCAGCCTAGTGCTGCAGCACACCAAAGAGGGGGCTAAACAGACAGTGGAGTCAGCATCTTAGTCTTCATGTGAACTACAGGCTGCCCTTTGTGCACTAAGACCTGGTTTACACCTTGGTTTAACAGCCTTCAGATAATCCCTTTAACAAAGGGTGCTCTTGAGACAAGGCCAACCAGATTCATGCTGCATCTGATGAAGTGGGTTCCAGGCCAGTTTACAGTGGGACCTCTACTTAAGAACTTAATCCGTTTTGGAATGGTGTTCTTAAGTTGAAACGTTCTTAAGTTGAAGCAAAATTTCCCATAGGAATGGACTGAAAACCAATTAATCTGTTCTGGCTGTTTTTTTGTTATGTAGAGGTGCGTTCGTACATTGAAGCATTAGTTCCCATAGGAACTAATGCAAAGCTGGTTAATACGTACTCTACCACTAGGGGGAGAATTTTTTTTAACCTAAGATGACCTAAGGTTAAAAAAAGAGCAGGAAAGGGTTTTTTTCCTGTTCTTATCTTGGATATCTGTTCTCAAGTAGAAGCAAAATTTAGCAAATGGAGCTGTTCTTAAGTTGGATTGTTCTTAAGTAGGGACGTTCTTAAGTAGAGACCCCACTGTATTTAGAAGAAGAAGAAAAACATAGAATAATGGAATTGGAAGGAAGAAGAAGAAGGTTAGTCTTTAAGGTTTCATTGCAAGAAGTTGATTACAGTCCATGAAAGCTCACAGCAAATAAAAGCGAGTCTTTAAAATGTCATGAGATTCCTTCCAGTTTTTGCTGGCACAGATTAACACAGCTACTCCTCCTGAAAATTTTGATTGGGCTATTCACTAGTTCACATCTCTTACCAAATATGTCTCAGGCACTCTCCATTTGTTAAAAAAGAAAAATCAATTGACAGAAAGAGTGAAAAAAAGAAGAGACCCAACTGTAGCCTTCAGCCCTGCCCTCACCTGTCCGTCACAGCTGAGCAGTCGAAAAGGAGCGAATTAGGGAACGGAAGGTGGTGCTAAAGGGGGAGGGGCTGGGATATAAAGGGGGGTATATGAAGTATGTGGGAGAGATTCGTGAATCTGTGGGCCTGAGAGCCAGAAAGTCAGTGAGAGTAGGGTTCTCTGTGTTAGTGAGTTCAGTGAGTGAGAGAAATTGATTATCAACTTGTGATTTACTTATTATATATTACTGATCAAATAAACAAGTTTAAGTTTTAAAGCAACACATGTCTCACTGAATAATTGGTACTGAATTGGTATTGGTAGCAGCAACTAAGGAAGAAAGAGTGAGCACCTCCTGGAGGCCTGGGATAATAGAGGCTTCAGTGCGCTCGCTACACCAACCAGGTAATCTGGGCCGGATCCTAATCTCCTAACAATGTAAGCCAACACCTCTGAGTTGAACCTGACCCATGGCCCACCTAGCTTTGCTTCAGGTCTCCTAATGATGACTGGTCCAACACCTTAGGGAACATTCCAGACAAGTTTCCAGTCCCACAGTGTTGATCTGCACCACCTAGTACCCATAAGTATAACTTGGAGGAGATATGGGGAGTGAGGGACTCATGCTGCAACTGAACATCTTGGTGTAGCTGCCTGGTCAGTCCATTGCATGCCCACAGCCACTCATCTTTTGAGCTGAGTGGGCAAAAAAGGTAATTGGCTTATCTGTATTAGACTGACAAGTGGTTTAGGCACAGAGTGATTAAAAAAAACCAAAAACAAAAAAACACCTAACAAGCATGTCACTATGCTCTCAGCTGCAAAGTAAATCGATCCAATTCATATCTGGGTACAAACAAAATGGATTGTGAAAATTGGCCCTCAGTTTACCTTCCTTACCATTAATTCCCACAGCTGTTTTCTTCCTCTTCTGTTCAACAAACACATTTTGGGTAGCTTGACAGCCTGCACCCGTAAATAATTTTCTGGGGAAATGACATCCACGTGGTTGTAAGAGCCTGTGTCTACGTGAGTAGCATGCACAGCTCTGCTTGCTGTATGGTGTATGGGTTGACATGCTTTTCAACAGCTGCAGTGTTAAAGAAGCTTGGCTGGGAAGATGGAAGACCTAGAGCGGTATGTGTGTGATTTCACGTCATGCTCCTGTGCTCCCTTGTATCCTATCCTACGCAAGGGAACAGCTTCCGCTCTAATGATTGAGGTGAAGGATTTTGTTACTGGGTGAGAGTTTTATTTCAATTGTTGACTTGATCCATTTTTGTCTTTGCAGTGAGGCTCCATGATAGCATCTCAGAGGAGGCACATCACTATCTGATATTTGACCTGTAAGTAATGGTAGAAAATCTCCAAATTATCAGTGGCATGTAGAGCATTATGTAAATGATTAGGAGGGATACCTTGACTCTCCTGTCCCATTGCATGCACACAATACACTCATGCAGATATACTTGGCTATTGGTGGAGCTACCGTGGGGACTTTGGCCAACTAATGCATTCCAGGAGCTAGGAAATTCTTACATATGTCCAAAATCTACCTTGGACAACGGTGACTCTCACCTGAAAGTCCTCTTTTGGCTTCTTCAAAAATTATAATAAACTGTTTCTCACTTGTTTTGGTTCCCATCACTTTTGGATGTCAGTTTTATTATTTTGGCTTGTTACATTTGTGTCCTGGCTTTTCTCCAGTGAGCTCAAAGTGGCATACAGTATATGGCTTATATTTCCGCCATTTTATCTGCACAACAATCCATGAAGTAGGTCAGGCTGAAAGACACCAACTGGCCCAAAAGTCACCCTGAGACGATCTCTCATGTCTTAATCCAGCAATATAACCACTTCATACCACACTGGTTCCATTTATGCAGCCTGTATCCAACTCCATAGAAGAAACAGCAGTGCTTTATGTTTCATGATTTCTTCTAGATCAGTGATCCCCAACCTTGGGCCTCCAGATGTTCTTGGACTGCAACTCCCAGAAGCCTTCACCACCACCTCTGCTGGCCAGGATTTCTGGGAGGTGAAGTCCAAGAACATCTGGAGGCCCAAGGTTGGGGACCATTGTTCTAGATAACTCCTAGTGCTACCACTCTCAATATACTGCTATTCCATCTTTCCTCTCTGAATGGATTTTTGGTAGTGGGGAAATGAAGCTGAAAGAAATGTGAGGAAAACAGAAGAGGGTTACAAATAGAAGACATGCTCCCTGTAGCCCTGTAAACTTCAGTAAATGAGATAACTGTAATGATTGTACAATAAAATCCTCCTTTGGAAGCATCTTACACAGCTTTTTGTAAAAGTCAGCTATAACTATTAGCATTGCTCTTTATGCAGATCAGTCCTTCAAGCTTCTTAAAGCAACAATTAGCATATTTAATTTTGAGCCCCTGGAGGATCATCGGCTCATGCACTGTTATCTAATGCCTTTGCGAAATCCAGCCTGGCATAGCAGTCTTTCCTTTGACACCACTCTGAAACAGAGGTGTGATGTCTAGCATCCAGGTTCTTACAAGCACCTCTCCTGCTCCAGTCCCTTCCTTCTCAGACTGCTCTTGTTTTTGTACAAAAGGAGCAAGACTGCAATGGAAGTGTGATGCTCGAATCCCCAAGAGGTGTGTGGCAAGGCAATATTGCAAGCATACAGAATGTTTTCTATGCTTGCAATACATTCCATGGAGACCAGATTACAAGGAAGAATTATAATAGATTATTTTGCTACAGCTGCTAGACTTCCAGTCTTCCAGTCTGTTGTGTACAGCAGGCAGGAAAACAAACTAACAAAACAAACAAACAAACAAACAAACCAGACACAATGAAGTGTTAGGGTCAGTGTAAGTCTGCAGTGTTGCAGTCTCAGCACTTTACGGCTACATGATGGCAAGACTAATAGAGACAGTTTTGGATGTATAATAGCAGGGTTGTGATGCTCATTACAATTCAGTGCAGTCAAGGGTTCCCTGTCCTATATTATTATGTTTTGTGTTGCCTGCTAAGCCAACCAGGATTTCCAAAGCTGGAACTGAGGCCTCTTTAATTGCTTTGCAGGGTGACAGGTGGCGAGCTGTTTGAAGACATTGTAGCCAGAGAATACTACAGCGAAGCAGATGCCAGGTAGGTTGAGAAGTGAACACAATGGCCAGGAAATGATGTTTAACACCTCGTCTCAGAGGTTCGCATATGACAAGTCTGAGATCCTGCTGCGTATCTTACAGAACAGTTTTCTTTGCTTCATTTCACTGCTGAACACACCTGGTTCTTACACTGTGCTGTGAGAGCTCACTACTGCAAGCAAGTGGATTTTGTGTGTGTGTGTGTTTTTTAATGGAGGTAGCTACACTTGTGAATAAGAACAGAGCAGAGACCAAAATCTTTTGGTGTGGAGTGTGCAAGCAAGTGGATTTTGTGTGTGTGTGTTTTTTTAATGGAGGTAGCTATACTTGTGAATAAGAACAGAGCAGAGACTAAAATCTTTTGGTGTGGGGTGTAGAGATGGGCACGAACCACAGTTTGGCAGTTCAGCCCAGTTTGGCATGTGTCCACACAGGTGTTCTGTGGACATCACATGCTTCCCTCCCCAGCCTCCTCCAGGTGATCATCCACTCACTGGCAGCACTGTGGGCATCCCTGACCCACCAGAGGCATTGTTTTCCTGCTTGGATTACAGTGATGCCTCGCTTAATGATTACCTTGTTAAATGATGAATCTGCTTGACTATGAGGTTTTTGTGATTGCTTTTGCGATTGCAAAACGATGTTTCAAAGGGCTTTTTTTGCTTCCTGACGATCGGTTCCCTGCTTCGGGAACCGATTCTTCACATTACGATGATCAAAACAGCTGATTGTCAGGTTTCAAAATGGCTGCCTGCTATGTAAAATGACTCCCTGCTGTGCTTTAGGATGGATTTTTCGCTGCATAGGGAGCAGAAAGTGGCTGCCCTATAGAGAATCTTCGCTGGACGCTGAGGTATTTAGCCCATTGGAATCCTCATCGAGTGAAATAAAAAAGTCAATTTCAATGGGCTTTTTTATTTCACTTGATGAGGATTTCGCTCTACGGCGATTTCACTGGAACGGATTATCCTCTTCAAGCGAGGCACCACTGTACTTGGAAGCAAATCCTACTGAGTTTAATTGGACTTACCTCTAGGTAAATTTCCACAGGAAATTTATCCAGCTTGCTGTTTTAATGTGGCAAGGCTCGATTAGGAACATTTTGTATTAGACAATCAGTTTAAAGTTTAATCACCTTAGTAAACAGTTTTATTAAGTTTCCTGTATGCCTACAAAAATAATAACCAATGGCTTTATTGGCACCTGCCCGAGAAAAAATAAAGTTAATCATTTCATTCTGGAGACAGCTGTTCTGGCACCTGGGTTTCTATTTTCTGTTTACCAAGTGCCTACAACATGATGTATCTGTCCCATCAAACTGTCATGGTGAGACCTGACCATATGTGAAAAGTGGCTCTGTTCCTGCCAATCCAGCTACTCTCATCATTCTGTGAGAAGTTGATCAATCACTCATTACTGTCAGTAGCCCTTCGAGATCATAAAGGAGCTAGCCATGTTCTTTTCTTGTTTCTCACAGGAGGGAGCCTGAATCACTCCAGTAACTCCTCAGTGGAGTTGCCTGGGCAGTCAGATTAGGATTGTTATCTAATTTTCTGTCATGTACGTAAGACAGGCTGTATGAAGAAAGGAACTCTGTGGAGATGTTCACAGCAAGGGGGAACGGGAAAACAGGAAGCGATGAAAGGAAACAAATATAAAAGAGGGACTGCTGAGGAACTCTGCCTCAAATGATCTCTCATAATGTGAGGTAACAGGATGCCCTTGTTTCTTTTCCTCAGCCACTGCATCCAGCAAATCCTGGAAGCTGTTTTACATTGCCACCAGATGGGTGTGGTACACCGGGATTTGAAGGTAAAAGATACATAGTGTGATCAAGGGGACTTCTGGTTAAATTTCTCACAGGAAGACTAGAGCACTGAGCAACTCTGGCACTCTATTAGCAATACCTGTTTGATCTGCATAGCATTATTTATGGTATGGTTTCTGTCAGTAATCTCAACCAAGAAATGTGGGGATGAACTCATTTCTCATAGAACAACTGCACAAAAACAGTGTCTGGACATTTTGATTCATATATGTGGTTGCATAATTGCAAGAGTAACGGTGGGCACATTCCATTCATCTCTAATCACTGGCTCTGAGGGCTAAAGGTAGTGGAGGAATGATGTCTCGCAATACCTCTAGAGCTCCATGCTGTGCACCCCTAGGCTGAAGACTCTGTGGGTGTGTGGGTGGATGGGAGAGAGAGAGAGAATACTTGTCTTTTTTCTTTTAAAAGTCTTTTTCTAAAGCAATAAACTTGGATCTGATCCAACTGATGTGTCAAATGAGTATCACATGGCGTGGGCAAGCCTGATAAACTAGACCAGCGGTTCCCAATCTCAGCTCAGGTGTTCTTGGACTGTAATTCCCAGAAGCCTTCACCACTAGCTATGCTGGCCAGGATTTCTGGAAACTGCAGCCCAGGAACACATGGGTTATCCAAGTCTGGAAACCACTGAACTAGACCATACAGCAGTCTTAATATTATCTATCTCTCTTGGCACATCTTTCTCATCTGGACAGAAAAAGAGGGTCAGAGGAATCACAATCTGATTCTGGATTTCACATTTAAGAAGAAGAAGAGAAAGAAATACAAGGGAAACCACTAGGAGTCATCAATATGAACTATGTATTTATACTTTGTCTTGGTATTGATGATCCAGGCCACTGATATCTTGCTCTGATGCACTGATACGTGGCTCTGCTGGAATATTCCATATAAGGCACACTAACCACATAGCTCCTGAATAGAACTGGAAAGTTGGACAGATCAGCATGGAAGAGCTTCTGACCCATGGTGCTTCAGTCATAGCTCCTTCAGCCTAAACATTCACCCAAACTTGCCAGTCTTTTATTAAATATGGAGTTATTGCAGTTCTCAGCTGATCTCACAACGTCCTGAGAATGCTTGTTCTTAAGATGTGCAGAGTTCCCATCAGCTGGCTTTGAGCTGCTCTTTCATAGTTTTCTGGAATTAAAAAAAAACCAGCTACTCTGTAGCTCCAACCATCATGAGCAAAGTTTTAGAGCAATCCTAAGCATGTTTGTTTATTCAGAAGTGGTAATCCTCAATGGGATTTCCTTTTTCAGTGAGGACTGCAGACTTAATGTGACGTAACACCTAGAATACCTAGAAATTTCTTCTGAACAGAGCTTGAGAGATTTCCTTTTCTAGATTGTGGCTCCCAGAATCCTGAGCCTGTGGCTGTGCAGCCTGAGGGCGGTGGAAGCTGTAGTCTAAAAAAGGAAACTGTTCTCGTCCTCTCTCTGAGTAAACACAGTTAGGCCTGTGCTCTGTATAAAAGGTATTTGACAACTACCAACTAGAATCGACTACCTTGGAAGTCTGTGGACTCTCCTTTGTTGAGGTTCTTAGCAGAAGTTGAATGGCCACCCATCAGGGTTTATGCAGTGGACTTCCTGCTTCAGAGGAAGTTAGTCTCATTGACCCTTGCAGTCCATACGAGCTATGCAATTCTCTTTCTATGTTTCTATGTTTGTTAAGGGTTTCCATTCTCACCAAATTAGTCCAGAACATTTTGGGGTTATTAATAAGATTGTTCTGTACTCTTTAAGAGACATATGCATGGAGATTTGGAATGTTGATGCAAGACTTCACACCTCATTCTTCTGGAGTTGTTCTGTCTCCAAAACACCCCACCACTGGGTTCAGCAGAGAATTAGGGAGGGAGGAGTGGAGGTGGAGGACCTTCTCTGGCATTTGTCATGCAGTGTGTCACAAATAATTGGCCTGGTTGCAATCTTGTATGCACTTACTTTGTACCAGAAATAGAAACTTCCCATTTGACTACATTTATAGCCCACAGGTTGTCTAGGCTAATTTTTACACATGCAAACTACTGTACCCTCACCTCCAAAATTGAATTATTCTCTTGCCTTTTAATTACTTTTAAAAAAACACATACTACATATCTGTCATTTTATTCCTTCTTCCTCCTCCAGAATTCATGTCACTCTGTATATCCTCCCGCCTACTGAAGTGCTGCTTAGCTCACAATACTCGCATTTATAACCTAGATGTATCAACCCACACGGTCTTGAGAAGTCCATGTGAATGATACTGTTACTCTTAAGGAGCTGAAAGAGAATAGGGAATATACTGCATAAGAATATTAGAATACTCCTGCAGGGTCAGATGAAGCATGTATCTATTGGAACATCTTGTTTTCCTCAGTGGCCAACCAGATGCATCATGGGAATTTTGCAGGCAGGACATGAGGAAAAAAGCCTTCTTCCATTGTTGTTTCTCAGTAACTGGTATTTAGAGACATGTTATCTCTGAATCTCAACATAGCACATAACAACTATGACTAGTAGCCACTTATAATACTTTTGCCATACCATTGCATAATATTAAACACTACTTAAATCTTCTACTTGCCTTTTTTCCTTAATGAAGAAGCCACAACCATTGTAGTTTTTGGTTGTGAATTTTTCGGGCTCTTTGGCCGTGTTCTGAAGGTTGTTCTTCCTAACGTTTTGCCAGTCTCTGTGGCCGGCATCTTCAGAGGACAGCACGCTGTGCTCTGAAACATTAGGAAGAACAACCTTCAGAACATGGCTAAAGAGCCCGAAAAACCCACAACAACCATTGGATCTCAGCCGTGAAAGCCTTCGCGAATACATTGTAGTCTTTTCTCATAGGAAAGCTGCTCCAGCCCCCAGTCATGTTGGTTGCAAATCTGGTCGACCTTCTGCAGCTCAGTATCAATATCCCTTTCAAGATGGTAGCAACTCTAGCTATGCACAAGATGTCAAGTGTACATCTCGTATTTCTATAAAGACATTACTATACTGACAGAGTTACTGTTCTGACCCATTTCCTAATGTTCTCTATCACAAAATTTACCTCTTCCACACCTAATGAATGTTGGGTTGATATATTTCATTGAAGGGTACACCCTAAGGACTCTTCCCTAGTTAGTCACTACCAGCTTAGAGCATCTGTGGAAGTAGGATTTTTAAAGAAATGGGAACTGTTACTTTTTTGAGCCACATTGTGAAGGAGATCCGAAGGAGAGTGTGGTGTCTCACGAGACAGAGGGGAAAGTAGGGGAATTGGAACAGAAGAACATTAGGGTGGAATTGGACTCAGAGGAGAATGTGACTAAGGAGAGAGAGAAGGAGCCAAAAGAGGGAGGAAGGTGGAAATATGCCTACTAGAGAAGAGCGGTAATCAGAAGGAGGAGGAGCAAGAACTGATCGTGTGGGAGGAGAGTATAAGTAGTCAAGGTGAGCAGCGGTTTGAGGCAGAATTAGACAAGTGGAAACATAAAAGAGAGCTGGAGAGACTGCGGGAGTATGAGAGAGTGAAAACCCAGGAATTATTGAAAGATTTTCCAAATCTGAAGTTAGGGTGATTACTACCAGATTCCCCCACTCAAGGAGGCAAGTGAAGTGAAATATGAAACTTTTGAGTGGTCAGTGATTGTATTTCCAAAAGGGAAGGGAAGAGGATGGCAAGTGATATGATCCGATTCAAGATTTAATACTCCTCCAGCTGAGGGGAATTGGGCCCGGCACCCACGCTGGAGCACCATTTGCGCAGTGAGGAGTGCACCCCTCCAGAATCCTACTAAAGTGGAGAAGTTTGGCCCAGCACCCCTGTGAGTTTAACAGACTTTGGACGGGAGTTCCCATCTGACAGTTATGGCTTATTGCCAGAGTTAAGTTCTTTTGATCCAATTATAAACAGGGTTGACCCTTGTGTAAGCAATAAAGACAAAGATGTTAAAGTTAAGAAGACGTCTCCTGTGATATTTCCTGGGCAAAAAGAGGAGTTGTCGAAATTTGAAACTGTACCCGATCACACACATCTTCCACAATAACCCATTCCTTGCTTTTTAAAAATTTATTTATTGGCCCCAATGTGCATCACTTTAAAGAATTCACATTGGATCATACCTGCCATTTTGTTGCAGAAGAACCAGGTGTTCCATTTTTTTGTTTTTGCTGTTCTGCATAATTTGATTTCATTTTGAAATGGGACCATTTTGCTATTCACCATTTACTACAGATAATTTATAAATAAGTTAAGAAACACTTATAGGCGAAACACTACAAAAATCTGCCACACAAAAAGTAGTGAGAACACCAAATACTCTATTTTTTTTCCTAGCCTCTTTTAAGGGTTGTTAAATCCCCTTAAATTTCTAGAGCATACTCTTCAGCTGCTCTATAATTGACCCAAACCTTGTCAAGAGCTGAAATCTATTATACACTTAAATATGCTATTCTCTAATGAAGTGATAGCAATATGCCAAAGGCATCATAGATAATTTGTAATTCCTGCTTTTATGTATTAACAGAAGTAGACATAATACGTTCAGGGACAATTGATAACTGAGGGCCAAAGTAGATAATACAGATAATATATCATTAGAAGCAGAGCTAACTTAAGAGGAAAATCTATTCTATTTATTCTCATTCTTCATTTGGCAAATTAGTGTGCCTTTGCCACTGACAATATGGGAGGTAGCAGAGTTTCAGGAGTGAAGCACCAAAAGACTTGTGTTAACATGTGATCTAACCCTGAATTAGATCACATGGGATTCATCCAGGCAGGATGAACCCTGGGATTCATCCGGGCAGGACTGGATGAATCCCAAGCAGGAATTAAGACTGCTGGAAGAAATATCAACAACCTCAGATATGCAGATGATACCACTCTGATGGCAGAAAGTGAGGAGGAATTTAAGAACCTTGTAACGAGAGTGAAAGAGGAGAGTGCAAAAAACGGTCTGAAGGTCAATATAAAAAAACTAAGATAATGGGCACTGGTCTCATCACCTCCTGGCAAATAGAGGGGGAAGATGCAGATGCAGTGACAGATTTTACCTTCTTGGACTCCATGATCACAGCAAATGGTGACAGCAGCCATGAAATTAAAAGACGTCTGCTTCTTGGGAGGAAAGTGATGACAAACCTAGACAGCATCTTAAAAAGCAGAGACATCACCTTGTCATCAAAGCTATGGTTTTTCCAGTAGTGATGTATGGAAGTGAGAGCTGGACCATAAAGAAGGCAACTGCCGAAGAATTTATGCTTTTGAATTGTGGTGCTGGAGGAGACTCTTGAGAGTCCCTTGGACTGCAAGGGGAATAAACCTATTCATTTTGAAAGAAATCAACTCTGAGTGCTCACTGTAAGGACAGATCCTGAAACTGAGGCTCTAATACTTTGGCCATCTCATGAGAAGAGAAGACTCCCTGGAAAAGACCCTGATGCTGGGGAAGTGTGAAGGCAAGAGGAGAAGGAGACGACAGAGGATGAGATGGTTGGACAGTGTCATCGAAGCAACCAATATGAATTTGACACAACTCTGGGAGGCAGTGGAAGACAGGAGGGCCTGGTGTGCTGTAGTCCATGGGGTCACGAAGACTCAGACACAACTAAACAACTAAACAACAACAACCACCCTGAATTGTTTTCTTGAGGACTGAGAATTGAATTGTCATTACTTCTGTAAGGAAACTACATCTTGACAATCAGAGCTTTGCCTTCTGAGATACACAAATGTTGTGTCACCAAGAAAACACTTGAAAACCCATGACCTTTGTAAAAAAAAGCTCCATGAACGTTCTTCACCCTATTAAAAAGCTCCATATCTCTAAGAAAGATTCTGCAGGACTCATTCTCATGGGATCATCCATCTAGTGCCTCAATGCACAAGAAGAAGTTCAGGACACAGTCTGTGGGGAAAGGTATGAAGTGGAACAAGATTTCTCACTGGAAGTGTTCATCTTTCTGTGTGCAGCAGTTTCATGGGCGGATATCCCTACATTTACTGTGAAGAAATGGAGGGGGGAAAACAGATCATTCTCATGAATCATTTTGTATATGAGTTCCTTCTGTTCAAAGACCAATACGCACCTGCACATGCACATATATGCACCATCAGAATGTTGCCTGGGCCTAAGCACGAGATGTCAAGTCTAACCGATGCTTTAACTAGGCATGAAATAGTTTCTGTTTCCTGTGCTGCAAATGATGCACCGTGTGTATCTGTGTATCCATTACAGTGGTGCCTCGCTAGACAGTTACCCTGCATGACAGTTTTTTCGCTAGACATTGACTTTTTGCGATCGCTATAGCGATTTGCAAAACAATGATTCCTATGGGGGAATTTCGCTGGACAATGTTTGGTCCCTGCTTCGCCAACTGATTTTCGCTAGACAACGATTTTGACCGCTCCCTCCGCGCTTGCAAAACGGGTGTTTTCGGGACCTAACCTTCGCAAGACAGCTATTTAAACAGCTGATCAGCGGCTCGCAAAGCAGCTTTCCTATGGCCGATCTTTGCTAGACAACGACAATTCTTCCCCATTGGAACGCATTAAACAGGTTTCAATGCATTCCAATAGGGAAATGCTTTTCGCTAGACAATGATTTCGCTAAACAGCGATTTCAGTGGAACAGATTATCATCGTCTAGCGAGGCACCACTGCATACCCATTAATTGAGAACCCCTGATGTATTTCATAACTGTATTTAAATAAAGATCAACTTCATGCCTTTTGTGTCATTCTGGGGGGAAATGTGTTAGACATCATCACTGGCAATTTGTGTGACACTTTGTGAAGGTGGAGATGTTTGGCACTATAAAGCTATCTGGCGACAATCACAGTGCATAGCATGGAATCTGATTAGTGCTTAATTTCATAGGCAAACTCTTCTTGAGAATATCTGCGTTTTGCATAGGCAAAAGAAATAAATTATCAACTTTAAATGTGCAGGTAGTGTGTTTAAAAGCCTGGGAACTTACATTTAAGATGCAACTAGGCAAGGAGGCTCTTCCAGGTTGATTCAGGCCAATTCATAGTATCCTATGAGAGATAAATGACAGTTGTCCTTGACACGGAATGTTTAATTTTCTCCATGATTAACTCAAGCAAGAGTCCTCATCATACCTCAGATTGCGTAATTGTAGTGCGGTCACAACCTTCAGTAATTTTTTAGTAGCCAGGAGTACTTGACCCATTGAGTACAGTGTTTTACCTCCCAATTTTCCAAAGCTCCATCACAATCTGTTCCCACAACTCCCTTGCTTCTCAAAAAGTCCTAATTCTGCTAGGAAAATAAATAAACTTGTTTAATATAGATTCTCGCGTTATCGACTTTACCTGTATAGATGTAGAAACTTAATATCATTTGTGAATTGGATAAGCATAATCTTGCTTTGATTTGTAAAGGTATGGAAGGATGCAGCTTTTCTAAGGGATAGCAGAAGCAATGTAATTCTATTTGCCTTTAATTTTTGTTTACTTTATTCTTTTTTTTTTCTTCCACAGCCAGAGAATCTCCTGTTGGCATCTAAATTGAAGGGAGCTGCTGTTAAATTGGCTGATTTTGGACTTGCCATTGAAGTGGAAGGGGACCAGCAGGCTTGGTTTGGTGAGTGAGGGAAGGCTGGACTTTGGAGGGTCTGAGACACTGCATTGTCCTAGTTTTTCTCAAGGAATTGGGATCTGATTGCTTTCAATCTCATATAAATCAAGGAGAGAAGGGGTCTGGGTCCCATGGTGTGACTGAAATGACCAGTATTATCAATAGCCATCCTACATAGACTGTCACCACTCCAACTTACCCTGGGCCAGGAAAGCCCAAGACTCATAGAATATCCCTGGGAGTCCTAAAGAAACAAGGGCTGAAATGTTGAACCCTATGCTCTCTCTGCATCACAAGCAAGGCACAAAACTATCGCAACCAATTCACAAATGCTGGATTGAGAACCACAATGTTCTCATACTTGTTTGTACACACCAGCATACAAGTTGCGAGGAAGTCTTTCTCAGAAAAAAAAAGATTAGCCAGTCAGAAGTTAGCTTATACAAAGAAAGATAAATCAAAGTATCTTGTTTGAACAATGCATGACAGAACAAAACAAGATTTTTCTAAAGCTATCCTCACAATAGAATGGACTCTGCATGAATCAGTTACACATGGAAGTGTAATAAAGGATTTTAGGGTAGATATATAACCTGGATATATATCTATTATCCCCATCTTTCTATTCCCACTGTGCAATCTTATACAGTGGTGCCTCACATTACGACGTTAATTAGTTCCAGCGAAATCGCTGTAGAACAAAAACGTCTTAATGCGAAAATAAAAAGCCCATTAAAACGCATTGAAACCCCTTCAATGTGTTCCAGTGGGCTGGAAACTCACCGTCCAGCGAAGATCCTCCATACAGCGACCATTTTCAGTGCCTGTGCAGCGAGTAATCTGTCCCAGAAAACAGCGGGGAACCATTTTATTTACCTGACGGCCATTTTGAAACTGCCGATCAGCTGTCTGAAAATCATTTTGTGAAGAATTGGTTCCCAAAGCAGGGAACCGATCATCGCAAAGTGAAAAACCCCTATTCAGACCATCGTTTTGCGATTGCAAAAGCAATCGCAAAAACATCGTCGTAATGCGGGGCAATCGTAAAGTAGGGCACGACTGTATATATATATATCTACTCAGGAATAAGTGCCACTAAACTGAATGGGGCTTAGTACCATGTAACAGTGGTTCTTAACCTTGGGTTACTCAGGTGTTTTTGAACTGCAACTCCCAGAAACCCAAGCCAGCACAGCTGGTGGTGAAGGCTTCTGGGAGTTGCAGTCTAAAAACACCTGAGTAAACCAAGGTTAAGAACTACTGCCATGTAATACTATTGCATAGAACTACAGTCTTGGAGTGGCTTAAAAATGAGTGCAATGATTTACATACTTGTCCACTCGGATCTGTTACATGGCTGGTAGATAAACTTGGCCAAAAAAGGGGGAGGATAGGTTCTTCTTGTTCCGGCTTCATAGAGGAGTTATTTGAAACATGGTAGCAGTGAATGCTAAAGGTTCAGAAAGTGGACCAAGAAAGGAACCTTCTTTTTAAAGCTTTTCTCATGATCAGTGGCTGAACAAATAGATCATTGAAACTAATGCCGCATGTTCACCATCTATCTGAGTTGGTGCCTTCTTGACGGGGCTGAATGTGATGATCTGTAAGGTCCCTTCCAGCTCCGCAGTTCTAAGATTATTGTTATTAACTATTTATTTAAAAGATGCCAGGATTATGTTAAGTTCAAATGTATATGAAGCATTCTGAGTCTATCCTTTAGTTCTGAAAAAGATTTCCTGGTTTAATTGCCTTATAATAGCTAGTATGTTTAGTTAAACCGTATCAGGTCCCCCTTTGGTTTTGTCTCACTGGGTAGTTATATTTATTTAGCTATTTCATTAAGATTTTCTTTAAACGTTTAGTTGAGTACTGGATGTACTATAAATAACACATGCTAACGTGGAGTTATAAATGCAAGTTAATTAGGTCATCACATTGCTATTACATTTTTGATCTATAGACACAGGCTATTAAGGGTGTCCATTTATAATTTTACAAGCCATAAATACATTTTGCAGACATATTTTGTTAGTGGAGGGGACATAACTCAGCTGTACAGTGCATGCCTTTGCCTGCAGAAGCATTCTGGGTAACAAGGCTGGAAAACATATATGGGCTGGAGACACTGAGGAGCTGCTGTTATTCAGAGGACGCAGTTCTGGCTGGCAGATCTGCGGTGTGATTCAGTATGAGGTGCTTTCATTTCCCCTGGGCTGTCCTGTAGTGCTTGTAGTCTGATACACCCTAAAGGTTCTCAGTTGGAAAAGGGTGACCTAGATCATTTTTTCCCCTGAGGATCAAGCTAGAAGGGATGAGGGAGTGGCAATATTACAATCTGTTAAGCTCTGGATGTGTTTTCCCCGATGAGGGAGTGGCAATATTACAATCTGTTGAGCTCCGGATGTGTTTTTTTCCATGATGTATGTGTGTGTGTGTGTGTGCGTGCGCATGCACACAGTGATGTGCATTTGGATTTTTTTTGAACCACACAAAATAAACCCCCATGTGTGTGTGTGAGAGAGAGAGAGAGAGTGTACGCGTGTGCATGTGCACAGTGATGTGCATTTGGATTATTTTTTTGAACCACACAAAAAAAACCCCCACATTTTTCCTTTCTGGGGATTCCACCTGCAGACACGGATCTTACAAACACCTAAATTGAGTTTATCTGGACAAGTGGAGCTAGTTTGCACATGCCTAGGATAGGCTTAACATTCTCTTTGAAAAGGAAGCTTCCCAGCCAACAATTGGTTTCTTCTCAAACAGAAAGTTAGGGCTATCCAAGGCAAGAAGCCGGGCATGAAACCTGCAAGCTCAGCAGCAAGTGGATTCCTAGAGAGGAGAATTCTGGGATTGATCGTCCAAAGCAAATCTGAAACACACAGTTCCCACCAAGAATTAGCCCTTGGCAGCTGCTTTGAAAATCAGGGAAGTGGTGCTGAAGAAGAGGTATTCAGCACTTTCTTGTCTGCCTTTTTGCCCATAAATTATTCTCTCAGCAGCTGAAATTGGCTCCATATGAGCTACTAGCTATGAACGATGTTCCCTTGCAGAGCAAACAGTGCCTGGGGTGTGTGCACTTCAGATCTAGATGTCTCAAGGATTATGTTCTCTCATTTGAGCCACCTTGAATATAAAGAATTGCTTCACGGGCCATTGAAACCATATTTTCTGGTCCCTCTCTCCCTCTTCTTCTAACTCTTTGTCCACCTCCCATAATCTTTTTTTAATCACATCAATTGATTAATTGCCTCCTGCCCCATTTCTTCCCCATATTTATATTATTCTCTTCCATGTCCTGGTTGTTACCTCCACACTTCTTCACTGCCTGTATATTCCTGCTAGGGTGAAGCCAGTGGTGTAACTTTCAGTGGCAAATTGCTGTAAGGTAAGAAGTGTAGGCATTTCCTCTCACATATCCTGTAATAGGATAAGAAGTGCCTATGCCAACTTAGCCTACTGCAGTTCACTGCTGAAAGATACACTGCTGGTGTTGCATTGGTGAATGTAAACTAACAGGATTCCAGGCAGTGTGAATTCAGTCATTTCATAACCTGGCTTCATCATAATTAGAGAGGAGTGTTAAGTCTTGCCCCCCAGGCCAGCACTTTTTCCATGCAGGCAGAGATGAATCTGAAGGGGAGAGAGGTATCTACTTGCTTGTAGGCAGAAGATGAATACCCCTTGCGCAGAGATGAATCTGAAGGGGAGAGAGGTACTGTATCTGCTTGCTTGTAGGCAGAGGATGAAGACCCCTTGAAAATCTGCTCTTCCTCCTTCCTACTGTTGTTTTTGGAAGTTGGATTAGAGAGAAGAACTGAATAGGAGCAGTGTTCACCTTGTTAAGCTTTCGTAAAGGGTTATGCAACTGTGGTTGGATACCACTTCCAATGAGAGTTCTAGTCCAAAAAAAAAAAATATCTGGTGGTTCTCAGGTTTCTCTCCATTTGGAATGAAAGTCAAGATTTGCAAAAGGCTGAATTCGGATTTGAATTCAGTCTGTACCCACAAGTGCCCTTCTCTCATATTTCTGCAAAATTGTGTCATATAGAGATGGTTCTGAGTATGCTTGCTTTCCTGCACAGAAATTATCTTCATGAATCTGTGAAAGTAATATGTGAAGCAATACATAGCCACCTTAAAGGGGATTCAGATGCCCACTAACTCTCTCTTCCTATGAAGAGGGACTGTGTACACATCCGAGAGAAGAGACACCCACATGGCTGTACTTTTTCTCTCTCTCCCTGCTTCTTTCAGTTGTTTCATGCTAGGAAGCTTATAAATATTAAAGATTTTCATGAAGAGGAATCACAACAAAAACACCACAAAAAGAGTCTTAAAGGCTAAAAAGTTTTATTTGGCATAAGTTTATGTAACCTGCTTCCTCAGACGCTGATTTGAGTTACCATCCATGAAAGTTCATGCCAAATAAAACATGTTACCCTAAAGTATCACAAGATCCCTGGTTGTGTTTACTGCAGGAGATTAGCACAGCTACATACTTGGAAATTTCCATGTTGAAAATTCAACTTACATTTTCTTAAAAACATGTGAGATCATGGCATACACAATTGCTCACCTCTCTCTCTTTTTAGAAAGAGAGGACATTAAACAGATGGCAAATCCCAGTTGAATTCATAGACATAGCAGTTGTCCCAGACTCATCTATTTACTTCTAAAATAGGACCAGTGGAAGGAGCACAACCTGTAGCAATGCATTCCAACCCCCATAGGAGACAGACCTGCTGCACAGGAATGATATTTTTGTGACTCCTAGATTAATTTATTGGTTTCTTCCTTACCGTTTCATCTTCTGCTACATGCTGCCCTCCAAATGTTGATGGGCTGTAACTTCCATCAGCCCTAGCCACTGACAACATAGCTTGTGGTGAAGTATGCTGGGAGTTGATGTCTAGCAACACCTGGAGGGCTCCACTTTGCTCTAAAGCAGTGATTTCCAATCTTGGGTGCCCAGATGTTCTTGAATTAAAGCTCCTAGAAGCCTTCCTCACTAGGTGTACTGGCCAGGATTTCTGGGAATTGTAGTCCAAGAATACCTAGGGACCCAAGGTTGAGAACCATTGCTCTACAGAGCTAACATGAGACTCAGCAGGAATATAAGATGACACCTTTCTTTGTTTGAAATAAAGGATACCAGTGTGGCCCAAACAAATTAAAATACAAATGCAAAAATAGGTGATACCTTTCTAGACCACTAAAAAAATCATCATATAGTACACAAGCTTTCATGAATAAAAAACACAATTTCATCAGGTTTGTACCACTGTGAAGAACTTAAAGTCCAAAAGTCCATGTCAAAATGGATTTTGCCAGGAAAGTTGCTCTTAGATGTAAAATCCAAAAGTATTTGGCAAGATGGAATTCGCCAGGCACGTCTCGCTTAGATGTAAGTCAGTGAATAAAGTATATGGTTGCTGTTTTGTCGTTGCAGCTGAGGCAGTTGTGGATTGAGTATAAAAACCCAATTCCCTAAACAAAGAAACACCTATCTTTGATGTTACTCTTCTGGGTTTCTAAAATGAAGTATTAAACCTCCAAGCTGATTATTGTCTCACACAGAGAGCTGCAAACCATGAAGGGAACAATGGTATAGCTCATTGCTTTGGACTGTTTTGCTTTACTAGGTTTTGCAGGTACTCCAGGGTACCTGTCCCCAGAAGTGCTCCGAAAGGACCCTTATGGCAAAGCTGTGGACTTGTGGGCTTGTGGTAAGTAAGATTACATTTCCAAACTACATCCAAAGTCTTGCCCAACTGAGAACTTGGATGGATTTATTTATTTATTTATTTAACTTGCATCCCCCCCACTCTACCCAAAGCTCTCTGGGCAGCTTACAACAATTAAAATTCATTTAAAATACAATAAAAGATAAAATGATTAAAATACAATTAAAATTGCCATCAGGACCCACAGTTGATGTTATTTCAATT